TTGATATTACAAATTTATAGTTTAGTTAAATCCAAAAAATAAATACATTTTACGGTATATAATAATGCCGAGTTAATATTATTTCATATGACTAACAACCGCTATGTGCAAAATGTTATATTCAAACTGAAATACTAATAAGCAATGATATAAGCACGGTAAAGCCGAAGCGTAAGTATTTATATATTTTTATTTTAAATGTTTCATGATCCAGCTTTTGTATAAATGGAAATATAAATTAAGTATTTTAAGTGCACTGGTCCTTTTCCCACGTCTTAGTTTAGCTTGACCTTGCAGCATAAAAAATAAAATGTGCGTAGTATACCCTAATTCTAAAACATGACGTAACGAATTGTATTTTTTTAATATCTCATCGAATCCGAATTAGAAATACGATTAAAAAAAAATTAACTATAGTGCAAACACCTATCCCGACAACAAAACATTCTGAAACGAGCAATCCATTACACAATAGCATTTAATATTCGTCATGGTTTTCATAGTGTATTGCTACCTAATGCTATTCCAACATAATATTATCATGTAGGAACATACATTTTTTTTCGTGATCCTGAAATCTTTAACATTTTTCTTATCATCGTCGTTACCGACTTAAATAATCGAAATAAATTTCAAATCAAATGTTTGAATTCAAAATGACTAACATAATTATATATAATATAATACCGTAATATGTGTTATTAGTACTTAATTGTACTATACTCGTATACTTGCAGCCCTGTGTTCTCTTTACGATTTACAATTATTATTAAATCTAAAAATCTTAATACTTTTGGTCGGAAATATATTGTTATACCTACACAAACTGAATAGTAATGAGGCGTTTGTTTACTTAGAAGCAAAAACTATGTTATATAATATATATATATTATGTTAATTTTTTTTTTTACTATAGCTAAATTAAAATATCAAACATAATATAATACATTACTATTCTTGGAACGACAAATGTGTATTATTTGCATAATCTACCATTTACAGTCATTTCAATTTTCGCAATGCAAACCTACTTACTTATGCATATATTATTATAATTTATAATGCTCGAGTGCGTTTTGTAAAATATAATACTTAACGAACTTTAAAAACTTGATACGTTCCATCTATACACGAAAGGAGAACATATTATTTAGAATGTAAATGAATATCATTTTTCTAGAGTGACACACATATTATTAAGTTAAATTACGTTTATTACAACCTAGCAAACCTTAGTAATTGTACCTATGTGTACCAAAAACATAGACATTATAAACAAATAGTTCACGGTTTTAAGAAGGTATTTTCTTAATTAATATATATTATTAAGGAATGACCTTAAATAAATTATTTCGTAAAAAAAGTATTTATATACATATATATATATATATTGTTCATACATAACACGTATGATTCGTGACTATGTCGTAAATATTTTTAACAATGTTACATAAGTACCTATCAATGATTTAGTTATTTTAGTGATTTTAAAGACTTTCTACGTGATGTCTAATCCAACTAAAATGCAATTTATATCTTAAAAACATAAATAAATAATAATAAAATATTTCATTTCATTCGTTTACTTTTAATTTTTGTGGACGATTCATTTCGTTCTTAGAATTCAATGAATATACACGGATGCGATTGTTCATTTTGTAATAATGAGCACAAAGAAAGTATTTATTTTTTTTTTTTATTCGTAATTATTCAATTACTAAGTAGCTCTTTATATCTTTATAACTAGATACTTTTATTAAATACAATAATTTTTAATTTTAGGTTCACATTTTTTTTCCCACAATAAACTTATAAAAAGTTCTTTGATGAAAAAAAAAAAATAAAAAAATAATTATAATTTATCGTCCATTGTTTTTGTTGTGATAAATAAAAATTTTATTATTTTTCAAAGAGTGAAATAAGTAACCTATAGTTAACTTAAAATTAAAATTTATTGTAAAACCAATATTGATAACTAATTACTTCAAACATTCAATTTAATGTTTAACGAAAGATAGGTTGATTAAAAACTATTTTTGATGTAATTTTAATACAATATATTAACTTATATAAAAATAAAATTGGTATGATAAGTAATGTATTTATTGATTTTACTTTCTAATGTCACATATTATTAAGTAATAGTCATGATTTTTTTTTTATATTATTGTGTTTTTTTAACTTTTAAATCAGGTGTTTATGATTGAATAAGAATAAACAAACGAAATATAGCCGCTTGCAGACAATTTCTTACGAGTATATTTTCTGTAATATAAATAATTTAAATAATAAGTCTAGGATTTTTAATCTGACAACAAAAAATTTAACAAATAGGCCAAGTATTAACAAATATACCGAATTTCAGGACGGTAAAAGAAATCAATGACAATAATAGTATTTTCATTATTATTAAATAACGATGTCCCAAAATTTAATAATGAAAAATAAACAGTGACAATGTTTTAAAATTATCTGGCTTGAAGATGAAGAAAAAAGAGAAACGAATATTTTCTAAGTGTTGGCATGATTTATATATTTCAATTATAGATTTCAAACGGTATTATGTAAATCACATAAAAGCACGTAAACGCGTTCGGTAGAACGGTAGAGAGTTTATACTAGATATTTGTACACACAAACTTCCCCCAAACGTTGAGATTTCTATTTGCCTTATGATAATAATAATAATTTTTCTACATAGCTCCCGATAGAATTTTTCTTTCACGGATTTAATCAGAATCGTATTCTGCTGCAGCGGCGCCGGCGCGTCTCGTCGATTGTACATTACGCTAAAGACAAAGAGAGGCAAATCGAACAATTCGTCAAGCCAATAACGATAAATAGGTATTTTATAAAGATGAAACTTCGATCGGATTTGATTATATTATTCGCTTCCGTTTTTTGAGAATTACTCGAAACATTCGTAGCCAATGGTTTTCGTTGGAGTATAGTTTATATAGGTAGCTGGTGGAAGATTTCCGTATACCGTAGTCTGAGACCGCCAAAATATATAGAATGATTCACCAAACATGCTCACTCCCATCTTTTCTCTAATAATGAACCTAATCAAACCTCATTTTTTTGAACTTTAAAGTTAACGTTTCATGTATTTTTTCATTTTTTTAACATCCTGGTGTTTTTAGATCTTTTAGCGTTGTAAAATCTGGTTTTTGATTTTTCTGATTTTTACTATTAAAAAATAATTTTATAATGTAGTAGCAAAGTTTTTCCCTAATCAAATATTATTAATCGTAATTTTTTTAACTGATTTATATGACGTAAACATATAGAGATTACGAGTGGTGACGAAAAGTTGAATGAGAATAATTTTTACAGATTAAAAATCTTAAAATTGCACAATCCTGCAAAAGTTCTTCTTCTTTTTTTTTATTTAATAAAACATATTTTTTGGTTCAAAATTTATTTAAAATAAAAATAATTAAATGCAATAAAATTAACTATTTATCGTTTTTTTCCACGTATAAAAACAATTTTATTTTTTAGTGCATCAGTTTTTAGTCCTATTAATTACTGAGTAAAACTACGCATTCAAATTTTGATTTGAATATGTACATCAACATTTAAAAAAACATCTTCTTAATAATAATTTACAGTAAAAAGTTTGGTTCTTAACTGAAGAAAGAAGTTTAAATCGTCCCAAGAGAATCCTTAATGGAATAAAAATCTGAATAATTGAAAATATAAAGTAAACTTAAAAATTTCAAAAATCAGAATTTGAATAAATACATTAGATATTGATAATGGAAATTAGCATTCTTAGTTTCATCGATTTTGGTAAAAGAAATTAAAAGCGGGAACCACGAAATGACTTTTTTTCGTAAATTTCACGCTAATGATCTCTAAGTGAAATTTGTGTGTCTACTGTATAACTATTGAAAGACCACTAAATCTGTCAACTTCAATGTTAGGGAAGGAAACTGTCCAGGACTCGCGCAATTCGTATCACGAATGATTATTAATTATTCGATATACAGATGTAATTATATGTCGTTTTATGATTATATATATATATATATATATATATATAGACTTCAATGGTTTTTATTTTAATAATTTATCTATAGGAAATAAACAATTAGAAAAGTTGACCGTTAAGCAGCGGTTGCGATCGTTTAAATTGTAGCCGTTCAGAGCAAGGGACACAAAATCGTGTACGCTCCGGGGCTCACTGATTCCTTAATCCGGATTGGTTGATAACAGTCAAAATATCACACATAACGAATATTAAAATATATCTATAGTACCACGTAATAATATATCCACCACTTCTGACGACCAAGACTTCTAATAGAGGAAAATAGTTGATAAACACCGCGGTCGCGCGCATAATATAATCCAAACGTACGTATATTGTTTTTTAATATTTAAAACGCTTTTGTTGTTTTTTTTTTTTTTTTACACAATACCGTCTTGTCTATCATTCACTCGCAGTAATTGTGTACATGAGCGAATATCGCGTACATACAAATATTTATTTGAATTCGAACACAAAACGTCTGTGAAAAACAAGAAAAAAGGAGCTGTGTAGAGAATTCAATTAAAACTACTCTGAAAATCTAAAGGCCATCAGAATTCCGTTATCAACTGTCGTCCGTATGCATTTTTATTATATTTTCCGATATCAATCGAACGACATTCGTCTCGGCATACAGAGACTGAATAAGACTTGTAATCTGTAAATGGATACATCATGTGACCATATATAGACCGTTTCAATAAATCTTGGCATACCGCGTTAGTCCCTTTGAATTCAACATTATTTAAATCACATTTTGTGTTTTTATACCTACTATAATTATCATTATAATTGCGTTAACCTCCTCCTCCTCCTCCTCTTCCTCCTACCCCTCCGAAAAAAATACACATTAAATATTTAATGCGATTCACGTAATCTATCTCGTATTAGCTCTAATCAAATCACTGCAGTACAACGATTGCGCATACAAAACACTAATATAAAGTGCAACATATTAATTTACGTGTAAATGGCGGTCAGCAGCGCGGCTACGGGTTCGGGACCGGCGTCCGCGTCCATGGCGAAGCGGGCCATCACGTACAGCATGTCGTGATGTTTTCCGAGCGGGCATACAGACCCGTTGTCCCGGACCACGCGGCCGTGATAGGCCACTGCTCCGGCCACCGCGGCCTCGCAAGCCCGACGCCTGTCCCGGCCGCACCACGGTCCGCACAGCCCGTCCACCACGGTGGCCAGGTACTCGCGATGCATTGACCGCTTGTAGGCCGGAATCAGCTCGTCGCGTTCCAGTTTGGCCACGATCTGCGCGTAAAATTCGTCCAACACTGCCTGCATGGTCATTCCTGAAAAGCGATCGCGTCTGCACGTGTACGACAGAATGACCGATCTGTCTACCGACCTACCGACAAACCCATCAACCCACCGACCGACCGACCGACTAAACGACAGACGGCGACGACTAAACGACTTACGATTGTCGATTTGCCGCTGCCGCCCTCCGAAGCCATAATATCGTAGTTACACGTTATGTATGTTGCACAGGGTGTTTCATCCGAGCATACTCAACGTTCACCCCTATTTCATTCTTCGTTCACATGCGTTTGTTAAAATTTTGATTTTTGGAATACTCAAGAAGAATCATTAGATGTTCGTGCTGTTTCTTTTTTTCAAAAGATGACCACCCCGGTTTAACTGTTTTTTTTTTTTTTAAAACGTTGACGCGTCATGAAAATCAAACGAGCGTTTAACTAACTTCACTTCATGAATTTTCGATAATAGTTCTACGAGATACCGCGGAGAAACTATAGTTTAAAGACTCAAATAATACATTCACGAATTTTGATCGCAATTTAAAGTTTTAGAAAAAAAATCATCTGTTCAATAACAATAAAAATATATTACAGTACGCATAGTATTGGGTCCTCTGTATACCAAATCATCGTCCAAATCGGACTTAATCAATACGACGCAGTGCACGTTTTAAACTCGGTGGGTTAAGCCTATAAAAGTATAATGTATCCATATAGGTGTACAATTTAATACATGTAAGTATTATACCATGGTAACGTAACGCGTACCCTTGACCGTCACTCCACGCCGGTATTACATATTATTCGTAGGCACTTATCGGCGACGGCCGGTCATCGCGGCTAGGAACCAGAAACGTTCCGAAAACACGTCACCAAGTCGTCGCGTATATTGTGATATGTGTGTGTGTGTGTGTGTGTGTGTGTGCGACAAACACGTTTCCGGTCTCGAGCTGATGTGGTGACCGGCGCCACCCGATACGTCGTACTTACCTACCTATTCGGACGAAAGCCAACCCGAATAAAAAACGATCGATGTTTTCATATACGGTTTGTCGATCGTTTGGATTATATATAGTAAATAATAATAATATTGTCATGTGTGTGTGTGCGTATGTGTATGTGTTGTTTACCTACCGAAAACGATTAAACTCTTTATATGATTTTGAAGAAGATGATGATGTCGACGGACGGTATATGTTATAGCCAATCCTCGGAAATGTTCAGACATAATCAACATTTTATTATAAATTGTATTGCTAAGCGACAAACGTTTTATAAAAAAAAAAAAATTAAGTTATTTTTAAAAACGATGAGAGTATAATAACAACGAGTAAGCCTATTATGATTAAAAAAACATATATTACTCTTCGTATCGTCCTAGTATAACAGGTACCCATATTATATGGGCCATATATAATTCCATACTTAAATAATAATTTCATATTTTGAAGAGAAAAAATATCAAGTAAAATCACTAAAAGATCGTTCGAACACTGTTGTATTTAACGTATAATATACATTATTATCAACGCGTTCTAACCTATATTTTTATCTACGATAAATTAATCATCGAACTACGTTTTAATCAAACCAGTTTCTATAAAATTAAATATGTAAAAAAATAAGTACTATAAGTAATATAATAACTAAATTATCTATATTACTATATTAATATAATATGTATACATAGACAGGTAATAGATAAATTGTTTTTCTCTGCATTTAGAATACACAGCAAACATAAAAATTAAATATTTTATTCCATGATAATAATTATTTATAACTTGAACGTTATCTAAGTCTATTGGTCAACAAAATAAATAGGTTTTGTTATTTGGAAGTTGAAAAATCGAAGAGAAAGCTTCAAACGGAAATACTTAAATCTCTCGTGACTCACGGATGACAACAGTGAAGACTTTGAGTGCATATATGAATGAAAAATAAAAATAAAAATAAGTAGGAAAAAATAATATTGTTAGTTTCACTACATTATTCCACTATTTCCATATGCCTAAGGCTATTGTTTTGTTTTCGTATCAACCGACACTGTGATAAAACGATAATTATATTTTCAGCTTTGTTAGGCTATACACATTAAATAAAGCCATAAATAATACAAAAATTCGTATTCTAAACATGTAAACTTTTACCTTGTTCAGACGATTAGTTTAAAAAAAATTCTTTTAGCTGGCTAAAATAAATAAATAATAGAGTACTCCGAACCTATTGAGGTATGTGTGATCGATGTATGAACAGCTGCTCGATCAATACAAGACGTGCATGCACCGTGTCCAGCGTAGAGGTATTAGGTTCGAGTAGGTAACAAAAAATACGTCATCTCATGATGATAGTTTTTTTTTTTTTTTTTTTTTGTTGGTTGTTGTTGATATTCTATTTACAAAAATAAATAAAACAGAAAAACCAAAAACTCATAATTTTCTTTGACGTAAAAACTCTTAAAAACTTAGATAATAAACAAAGATAATATGATGCGACAATGCGCAATTAATCCAATTAACGTGAAATATTATTAATTCGAATTTTAATTATTATTGTGCTTTTATTTCCTGCAGTGTGCTGAATCAAAGCAACAACTGGGACCCGCAGTTCGAATTCACATATAGAGGTCTGGTGCCAATGAAAGGAAAACCGGAACCAATGAAAGTTTGGATTTTAACCAGGAAACGTGCAGACGTCGAAAACACTGAAGCATTACAACAACAACAACAACAATAATAATAATAATAATAATAATTTATATAATTTTAATTATAGTTCGATATTCTTCTAATTTCCCTGTACCGTTTGTCTGTCGTAGTTGAAAATATTGCAAATGTATGTCATCGAAAGCAAACATCATTTTAAAATAGAATATTAAATAACTATATAAAAATAACATAAATTGGAGTTTATTATTATGTTTTTCAGTTCGGAAAAATCGTTCGACCTTCGTTGTTGCTCTAGGCTTTTTGTTTCGGTATTTTGGCGCCGGAATGTCAGATCTCGTATTATTATTGTAGATTGTAGGTACCGCCGGCCGACTTATCCTTAACAATATTAAGTATAATTATTATGATTATTATCATCATCGTGATCGCCATCAAACACGAATACCGAACGGGTGGGCAAAACATATAATAATATGATAAGTTTTTTAAGTGATTCTCGTTGAAAGACCGTTGCGACGGTGCGGGAAAAAAAGTAGCCCAAGATACCTGCTTGCCTACCTATTTTTAATTTTTTTTTTTTATAGATACCTCATACTATTCTTGTCTGCCGCGTGTTTCCGCCGGTCTGGTGGGGCGTGTACAAACTGGTTTGCGCGATCTCGTCCATCCACATCGGACTGGTTACCTACCGACAGTCTCGTTCTTGGAATATCGCGTCGTGCGCGTCTACACTCGTCGTCGAACACACCGATATTTTTTATTTTCCTTCGCGTTTTGTTTACTGAAAAACGGTTTTTCGATTTTAACTTCTCGAGTAAACATTTTGTTTGTTTGTGTTTGTTCTTTTTTTTTTTTTTGATACGCAAATCTCACTTGTTATTATATTATATTAAACTCCCGTCAATTGGATATCGTCCACAGACTTCGACGAAAAAGGTAAACAGTACCTATGTATTTATCATCCCTTCAAAACGGCAACAAAGATTTGTCAGTGTAAGGACAAAAAAATAATCGTGTGTGTGTGCTGTGATAAGTTTTGTCTTGATCTCTTTTCTTTAAAAATTCTTCCGTCCGCCGGTTTTCGGCATTCTTAAAGAAAAGAAAAACGTTTACAAAAACAACAATACACACAGCCTCCGGTAACGCGTGCGAGGTTTGTCCCCTTTCATCCCTTTTGAAGTTTGTAATTAATGTTTCTTTATAATTATACGCCATTCAACATTCCCGCTACGTTACAAACTTAGTGAAACACCCTCGTCTACCGCGATGGATGTTTGTGTTGCCCTTTCTGTATAGATTGTTTTTTAGGAAGAAAAAAAATGGATACCAAACTGTTTAAAATTTTTGTTATTTACACAGATTTATAAACTATCGGTAGTTAATAAGAAACTCGCGCCCAGGGGCTTATACAATTGTTATGGTTTTCAGATCTGAATTATATTATCCTAGTAAAACGTTAATGACGAATATTTTGATTTCCTAAATCGTTGTAATATACACTAATTTAACTAAATGTATACGCACGCAGGCTTCTTGAAATATGCGGTCTTGAGTAACGCTAACGTAATATTTTATAGTTATACAAACCGTGGTGTAGGCATATGATACGAATCCAAGAGAACGTGTGTAACCAGCTCGAGTATAATATAATAATTATAGTTTGAATTGGATTATATGTTGTTGGCGCGTTAGCACGCGATGAGAACTAACGGTGAACAGGTAGGAATCGTCTAGAAAAAAACAATTTTTAAAACACGCCTCGGGACATTCGGGTTGATTTCGTAGACGCGTGTAGACACTGAACATTGAAACAATATCCACCGACAATTATATATATATATATATTTATATGTGTGCGGGTTGAGTATACACAGGTACGGTAGAATACGATACGACTTACGAAAGAAATCGAATTCGTTTTCGGATCGGCTTCATATTATATGTTTGATATATATTTCGAGAGATTCGTATTGTGACATAGAAAAATTTAATAATAATATTATAACACGGTAACAATGGCATTTTCGTTCTCACGAGTGCCGTAATAATAATATGATTTTGCTTGGACTGCGGTAGCCGGTAGGTATTATAAATTACCTGGTAAAAATATCGAAACGGACGCGCTCTCGTACATTTACAACAATATTTACAGCTACCATTAAAGTCGTATAAGCATTAAGCAAACGTACTTAAGAGGTATAATAACTGCAGTCGGTCGTGCTGTTCACCACGTAAATCTACTTAAATTTTTCTCGTTATTGTCATTATTTTTGTCATCAAATTTATATTTTCATTGATAATTGTCACAAATACGTTTTTAGAACGCACACAGCTCGATGTCACAAGCTATCAGACCATTTCGAAGTAATCGCCTGTTACTGACGATACCAATGTGTATAATGCGGATCCATGATTCATGAATAATAATAATAATAATAATAATAATAACAGCTAGTAATGCTAATAATAATAATAATAATAGTAATAATAGTAATAGTATTGCTGTGCAAATTCAATTTTTTTTCTAATGAACACTTTTTTACCTACAGGTATACCGCGGTATCATGTACTTTGGTTACCAGTCTTTACACGCTCCAATAATTTGTCCACGTTTATCGTGTACCTATACAGAAATTATAATATTATATTTTCCGAATCAAAGTGTACAATATACGAAATAACGACTTTTACCTATATCAGACCTAACATTCACACGCCATGTATTATGTACAGTCATAAAATTATCCGTCGTCGAATAGCACATTGCGGTCTATGCTCATCACACATAATACGTATATTAAACACGCATAAGACCCGTAAAACGTACAAAATCCTTTCCAAAATGACTCGTTTAAATTATTTCCTAGCTATAGACACGATATCGCTGTCGATCGAGCAATTTTAAATAATTCAAATTCTTATTACGTCTGCGAAATTACTACTTTTTCTTTTCGACTATTTCTTGTGTGCAGCTTATTATACGACTTACTAATTATGACACCACACGCTATAATATGTTACTTTGGGTACTATTTTCTATACAGTGTAAAAGTTTAATTTGCTTCCATATTATGCATATGTCTATATTTATTTTCCTTATTGTGATTAATTGATTTTGGTGTAAATAAATCAAATCTTTAAATAATATAACGGTCATTGTTTATAACTTTTACGATAATTTTTCAATTTCCTTTTAGAGTAGTATTCCAAGTTTACAATTTTTAATCTCATAAATGATCGAATAAAATACGTATAATATGAAACGAAATCCGTATACTGGATCAGTTTAAAATTTAAATATTTATTTATTTTAAAAAACGATAAAAAATAAATGAATGATATTTTCATCCAAAAAAAAAAACATGTTTAGTATGCAAATCCATCAGCGTGTGCCTACAGCTAAATATTAAAAAAAATAATAAGTAAAATAATATGATTTTAAAGTACGAAATTTATGTATTCAATATCAAACGTGTTGAAGGATATGATATTTTAATTTTTAAATTTTATTAGAATCGTATTGGTATCAGGCTAATAATTTATATTTTACTTTTCCATGATTAATCATAGTTAGTAATCATACGAATAATAGTTATAAATGCCCACTTTATAGTATTCTTCTTTCTATATTTTTAATTTTCCTAGTCATAAAATATTTTATATATATACATATTCATGTTGATATATAATAACATATTCAATTTAATTATTATAAAGTATTTAAGCCCGTAAAAATAAATTATATGTTATATTACATGCCTCAACCAAAATTGTGCAATGTATTCTGATGAATTAATGTATTATATTGTACAAAACGACATAACAAAAAAAAAAAAAAAACAAATTTTCGATTAGTTTTTGAACTCGCCTTAATATTACACATGATTTAAACGGTCGTTACACGTTTATGTGCCATACGAAAATAACAAACGTTTATGTATTGTTATTGTTGTTTAATCTTGTCAAGATCTGCCTGGTCATTTGTCGTATCAAATGAACATCAATCATCACATCATACTGCGGAGGTTGGACGTCGCTTCACGTCTTTCTCGGGATGGATAGATATCAAAAAAAAAAGGCATATCTTATAATATAAAGTCAGAGATCGCCAGACCAAATCGTCGTGTCCCATAGCGAAGACACGCTTTCTAGAAACAATGCCATTTTTACATGTATTATTAGACAGCCTTTCGCGCGTATTGATATTTTTCCCGTTGATAATTTATTGAATTCTGCTCCTCTGGTCACCGATGCATGGACAAGCAACCGAAATCATAATAATATCATACTTAATATACAAGACATCCGATTAGAATTCGCCGTGTTTTGTTTTTCGAACCGATTACCGACGCTCCACCGCACCGTCTCTCCGACGATCTATTCTTTTCCACACACTAGACACACGCATGGTCCGCCGAACAGTAAAAAAAATCCATTGTTCTACGGCTCTTCGCGCAAGTCACGGATCGCATAGATATTATTTTTATTTTTTTTCATATTTTTTTAGTTTGAAAAATAAATTTACTCGATTAAGTAATATTTTTACTCTCCGGAACCCTATCTTTCATCATTGGTCGTACGTTTCAACGGGCGTCGGGTACTGAACCGATTGTTTTTTTAAATATTTTATGCTTACGTGATTATACACGATCAATTTATTCTAACGAATGACAACGAAATGATAAAAATAGTTTTAAAATGAATTCGAGGATCGGAAGTTTGTGCAAATTTAATTTTTTAAATTATTTACAACGGTAAAATATAATTACCAAATATTATTAACGTAATGACATTATTTTTATAAAAACTTTCGATCTGATAATTTAAAATTAATTTATAAACAATAGTGATATAATAGTTGTGAGATGTACGTAAAAAAAAAAATAAATAAAACTTTTTTCCCATTGATTTTAATAATTCAATATCAAGTATATGACGTGTTGACATATTAATTCATATTCACAATTTCACCAACATTTATCTTTATAATACGTCTAAAATTATGTCAACTCGTACTTGTGTTCAACGTTTAAACATTACACAAATCCTTAAAAATCTTTTAAAAATTTACGTTCGTATACGTATGTCTATTATGATTTATAAACAATTTATCGGCAGATAAAAATATTTTATGCAAGAGGTACTGTTATATAAGACAGAAATACTGAATGATAACCTAGATCCTATCTTGATCGCATATAACATATTCCTTCAACTACTGTAACTGATCAATGAAATATTTAACCGGTTTCATTCCATTACTGTTGTAGTAATTGCATATTTCCAGGAATGTATATATATTTTTTTAATGATATTATTAAATCAATGACGAAAGATTTAGATAAGTTGTAACTTGTAAAATATATTCAACGTCCATTTAGCTGGATATATATTATTGGTCACACACAGTTATGCTAATATAGCATCGTGTTATAAAAGTCACGAGCATAAGACACTAAGAAATTCACTAAGATAATTTAAAATGTTAACGCTTAGTTAAAATCATAATTTTAATAATTTTTATGCTAGATAATTTACCATATAGGTTAATTAATAATAAGTAATAATGCCCATGTACCTTAAATCTAAGAATATGTTTTGTTTCAGCAATAAATTATCTATAAATATAGTATTCATTAATACATGTAAAACTGACCAGCGTAATGAAGTGGTTAGCAATTAGCATAAATTATTTTATTTATAAAAGAGGAGTTTCTTCTACATAAACGTCATTTCGTACCCATAAATTATGAGTTTATGACATAACTATTAATTATTGTTAATTTATAATTTACTATAATATAACCATGTGATTACGTTGGTAAATCATTTAAAAAATATATTTCTTGTATTATTGCCAATCAATGCAAAAAAAACATAAAATTATATCACTTTTAAAGCTATTTAAATTTTAAAAGTAGTTAAATATTTTGTAGTAAAAACTAATTTATTACATAGTAACATATTTTGTAGTCTTATAACTTTCAAGTAACAAAAACTAAATATAAAGTAAACAAACAATATTGTATTTTAATAAATCAATCGCAGTATGAACAGTTTTGTTGTGTGTGCGAAATATATTAATACTATTATATAGATACATTTAATTTCTAATACATTTTATAACCTAGAGAATAATAAAATAATGTTAATACATACGTCATTTTTAGTTTGAAGCTACATTTCCACTTAACTAATGACCAATTTTATTATTACAACATGTTTATTAATTAGCAATAATTTAACCAAATTAAAAAAAAAAAAAAATCAATATCCTTAACTAAATTATATTAATAAATCTCGTCTTGAAATCACTTGCTTAAAAAAGAAAAAAAATTCCAATATAAATTTTGACTGACACAAAATTCCATGAATATATAAATAAAACAAAGATGACAGCTCAGTATTTTTATGTAATGCGACCTATATTATAAATCAAAATACATAAAATACATTAATTAAATTCTATAACGACTAAAAATTAATAAACCATATAGTCTGCATCAGTTTGCATAATAATCATTATAATTTTTTTAATTACATATAATAAAATAGTATGTAAACATAACATATTGAAATCATCAACATATGAGCTCAAAATGACTTGTGTGTATTTCTTTATCATATTACTATGATATCTTAAATCATATATTCATAATATAGTTGGTTATCATTCAGTCGACTTAAATGTAGTAGTTAATAATATAGTTTGGAGATGTATATTATTTTAATCTATAAGAAATATTTTATTTTTGAACAAATTTTATTATTTTTTTCAATAAAATTTTGTTTGTTAATAGCTTTATTTTTTCATTGATACTTATTATGGATTACGACCAACAAGTATTAAAAATAATAGGTATGTTAACATATTTTTATAATTCTTGATTACATTGTGATTATATAAATAAGAGTAAATTTAAACATGAAACATGATGAAAGAAATTTTAATTTCTGTAATAATTATAAAAATTTAATTAATAAGATTATTACATGTTTTTATATATATTGTATAGATTGTATCATTAATGTGTGTCTCGTATTAAAAATAAATAAGGGCTACGTAGTATGTACATACTAAACTATTATATACATATTACATAGTAGTTGTACTTTAAAAGACAAACGTTTACCTTTACTGCTTTACTTTAAACACATTTAAACTTGTGGTATTTAAAATTTTAAAAATTCTATTTACACAATACAATGAATTAATGTTATATATATTTAAGAACATACTCTAACAGTAAAAATAATATATGACCTTATTTATACTATTGTTTTAGTTATTTTTACGTTTAATCAAATTTAGTGAAAATATGATGGAAATAATTGATAAATAATTTTTATTTTAATACTGTTTATATTAGTTTAATTCAATTTTGACCGTTTAAAATACATTTTTTTTTTCATTTTTAGAATACGATTACTGTTTTAATTTTAAAAAAAGATAAATTTACTTAGAAATGAAAAATGATTTTGGTTTTTAAATTTTAATTGCTTGATACAACTCTATGGCTTGATTACAAAAAAAAAAAAATAGTATTTTAAATTAATGAAGTGTACTTACTTAGGTATATAGCTTAAGAAAATTGTTCATTGGTAGTTTATAATAATGTATTAAAACATGACAAAAAGAGCTGACTTAATTTTTATCCTTGATACTCGGAAGTAAAAACAATATTAGGATACGTAAATAATTAAATGGTTTAATAGGTCCCTACGTTATTATATTGAATAATATTATACCATTATATTATTACAGTAAGCTATAATTATTTTAAATCATTTTCAACCGATATTTTTTTTTAATCTATTCTACACCGCTTTTTTTTAATTTTTAATGAATAATTACTAATCTTGGATCTTAATTTAATATGATAAAATTGTAATTCTATTGTAATCAATAAATCGTTTTATCTATTAATCTCAGTGCAACATATAATATGATATACATATTATTTTGTACCTATACTTTTTCACCTTATTAAAATGCATCGTGTTCAAACACTATAGATGTTTCAGTTTTCCGTGCACATCGTAATTTTTATCGTTTTAAACGTATCGTATATTAAATAAATGTTTTTCTCCAACAATTTTGGTTAAAGTCGTTTCTAATGCGTTTCTTTTACGTTGTTCACCACAAATTATAATAATACGTCATTCAACATCATTTTTGTATAAATCTATATTATGTGACTTTCCCCAACAGATAAAGCGTGCGCAACTCATAGGTTAATCTAGGTAGAAAAACAAAACAAGAAAAATAAAAATTTCAAATAAAACCATAGTCCTGTCGTAGTTCAAGTGTGAAAAATATCGTTAAATGTAATGATGGCGCACGGACATGACATATCATTATATGAATAGGTAGGTACTTTTGCAGCCATACAGTACACGAGTACGCTGGATGGCGTTAAAAGACGCGCCGCTGCGTCTCAACGATACATTATCCTTTATGAAAATCGACGAGTTGAACATCATTCTTCGTGATCTCGTAATAATTTACTCGTCATTACTGTTACGCGTGCGTGCATTAAAGTATTATTGTTACCTCTGAACACGTCCATTGATGATGTCAGAGAAAAAAATCTCGTACCTATGTAGACCACAAAAATCAAAAGCCGCGGCGATTTTTTTTTTAACATTATTTAGTCCCGATGATACACGAAAATATATATTTCATATGAAATTTTAAGAGGGATACGATCGGGCTCGTCGTAATAGTTGTGCTAATACACCGCGTAGGCGCTATGTGCGCATTATATTGTACTCACCAAAGGAGGAATTTTGCGTGTTTCAGGTTTCGCGGGAACCATGTTGGAAACCGTAGCAGAGAAGAAAATTCCGCCGCCGCTGCCGCCCAAGACCCGACGCGGCTGTCTGAAAACGGGCGTCGACAGCGGCTGTGGCGGCGGTGCGACCATCTTGCAGTCCAACGGCCACGTCGTGAAAATCCGAATAGACCCGATGATGGTCGACGGGGTCGGCAGCGGCGGCGGTTGCAGTGACCGCGTCGAACGGGACGACGGGCCGCGCAGGGAGCACGCGGCGGGCCGCCGATCCAGCACGGTCAAGATAAACATCACTTGCGTGGACCCGTTCGTGTTCCGCCGGCACTACGCCGACGTGGTGGACGACGACGAGGACGACGAGGACGACGACAGGCGCTCGTCGTCGGGACACCGATCGCCGCTGGACAGCGGCACGGGCAGCGACCTGGACACGGGCAGCCGGCGGGACGAGAGCGACGACGGGACGTGCAGTTGCGATTCGCTGACCAGCAGCACGGCAGATCCCGAGACGGCCGTGATGACGGTCGATCCGGCGCCGCCGGGACGGCAGATCGTGGCCGTTGGCGGCGGCAGCGGTGGTGGTGCAATCATGCGGGTCACAGCCAACGAATTGCCGGCAACGCAGACATGTACGACGGCCGGAGTCGTGGCCACCGCCGCCGTCGCGACGGTCGTCGAAGAGCTGCCGAAACGTTCGACGCCTCCGCCGCCGCCGGTCGTGCACGTCCAACAGCAGTGTTACAACGACGCGTATGCGGTGGCCGCCGCGGCCGACCGCATCATCGACATGGACAACACGGACCAGTACTACAGCTTTCACATGAACGAGAACGTGTTCGACGAAGTGGACGCGACCGCTGTGGCCACCGTCGCCACGCCGTCGGACGACACGTTCGCGGGATGCAAGACCGCAGTCGTCGCCTCGGACACGATACGCAGCGCCAAAGGCACCATCAGGGGCGTCAAGAACCGCGTCAGGGCCGGAATAGCGACGTTCTTGCAGCCCAAGACCAACAAGGTGAGTACAGCCGACACGAATAATTTTTTTCACCGACGGTGCGATAACGTCGGTTTAAAAAATCGAATTTAAATAAAAATCTATTTAATGTGATATTATCGTCATTGATTGTTTGATAATATAATACGTATTATCATAACGTATTCTCGTAGCGGTTCAAACATGATATAATAACGCGTAAAATCTTGATTTTCCAGTAGAAATCTTATCGAATTCCTTCGCGACGTGATAAACAGAAGCGGTACCTAAATAATTTGATTGCCCCGGACTCCCGGGCACCGACGACGGTTAACTGCACAGCATTGCAGGTGGCGAGTAGTGTGTTTTTAGTCGGGTTACCAGAAATGTATCCGCTTCGTTTCCGGTCTGCTCGATCATCAATAATTTAGGCGTGGTACGAATACTTCCGATCCGACGTGTATCTCATATTAAATTGTATTAAAAAAAAAAAAAAAAATACAGAACAAAATCAATTTTTTTTAAATATCGGAGGTGAATAAATGCATGAGGCTCAAACGTGAGAGAGAATTTTCCATATCACGTAATTACACTCCGTCGTGAATGTACATTTAATAGCAATTTATGTTTTATACTTGTAGGCAAAACAATTATTAAATTAGTTAAATATTTTTTTAAACAGTCGTTAAACTCTCACATCGTGAATTTCTCTCAATAAATAGAACTGTTTTTTGCGTTGTAGCGAAATGACAACCAACTTCAGATGAAATCGACAAAAATGATTGAAACCAAAAATGAATTTCATTAGAATGATACAGCTGACGATTTCGTTACAAATACTAACCTGATCAATTTGTCCACCCAAAACAATAACTTAGATAGTGACTATTAGATATCTACAAGACACTCGAAAAATGTGCCTTTTCATATGAACACATCATTATTTATATTTTATCTGTATACGTGACATAACCGCTTGGTCTGTTCTCATTCGATAGAAATCAATAAATAATATAATTAACTACTTCTGTGAGAATGTGACACGCGCCATCAGGATTTCGTTGCATCTGTAGCCGTCCGGTGGCATTACAAAATCCTCGTGGAATAGTTTTGGAACATTTTAGTTCTGTTGCATAACAAATACGAGAAGATAAGTAGTTTTACGACACTAATAATAATATATGCATGTCGAACCCGGCGTTCGTTCGTTTATACGAGAATAATGACAGCTATATTGCCAGAGAAAAAAAAACCCATCCCATTATAGGTTTTTATTTAATCAAGTTTATACCAATAAAATTATTAAGAAATGGATAAAAATATGTTAAATTTCACACCGTTGGCATGAATATTATTTAGGTATATTATACGTAGTACTCAAACGTATCATCTGCAATGGTAGATAACATAATAATATGATTAATGAGCAATAATGTAGACATATAAAATCTTATCTATACCAATCGACTTTTTTTCGAAATGTTATTATATAATTATTAATTACAGTTTTTAGAATATAATAATAAGTATTATATTATGCATATTTAATGTAAGTATATGTAATAGGTATTGTATATTATATTGTAATACATAATAATTATATTCACGTGCCTGTGAAACGCTCAATTATATAAATAAAATATCAATTATTTTGATGAAAAACAACAATAACAGTTCAATACTAGACAAATAAAAAAAATAACTAGCCGAATTTATATAACAAAATATTATGACTCGTTGAGCAAATCGATTAAATTCGATAAATTTTCAATAATACCTTTTGTATGGGGAATATATCAGTTGATCGGAAAAATAAAAAAAACTTATTTTAAAACAATAATCGCTGTTTTAATGATTTTTTTTTTCATTATTGATCGTTTAATTAAAAAATCATTGAGCATAACTTGTGGTATCTTACACGAAATATTTTTTTCAATTCATTGCATAAGTTTTTCAAATCCATTAGATTCATAATATTTAATATATGTATAATATATCTATGCACATGTGTATTAACTATTGAGAGGAGTTATAATCAAATACTATGAATTATATTATTTATGTTATTTTATAATTTATTATACAAGATGATTATTTTTAAAGTAAGCACTCGTTTTCATGAAAATATTAATGTTTTGTATTTTCTTTTACGTAATCAAAGTTTTTACTGAATCAAATTTATGAAACAAAATATCTTTTTTATCATAATAATTTTTAAGTTTTTTTCTTTTAATCTTTATTGGATATCAACTTACATTTTCTATTTAATATTTTAAATCCGTTTCTTTTCTTTTCTTTTTAGTACCTATTCCGATAAACCTTTAAAAATGGAATTTCAAATGAGTAATTAACGGGTCATAAGTAATTGTAGATTTAATAAAATATGAAGTAATGGACAAATATATTGTGGAGTTATACCATTCTACTCCGCTCATGAACAATTAAAATACCTATCCTTAATCAATTTATTTTTAAAAACGTTGTTTTATACCTAGTAACTTTGTTATTTTATATTATTTAAAAATATGTTTCTAAAACGTTAATACTTTAAAAAAAAGTGATTGTTAGTCTTTAAAACAATCACCTTGTATTGTTAAATATAATTACTAATTATATAGGTTATGTTTTTTGGTAGGTATATTTACCACATTTTTTCATAATCATTAGCAAATATAATTTGTTATTACAAAAATGTCCTTATTATATCGCTTAAAGTAAACGATAAGGTAATAAAAAATAAATACACGTTTATGACTTAATAATTGTGAGAGTATAGGTCAATTTGTCGATTAACAACATAGACTTATATATTCCTGTTGGGCGATTGTACTTTTTTTTAACAATAATTCAGTACAGGTGATGGATGGACTAAATAATCCTCTATTTCCCTAAAATATTTTATATTATGAACACCAGGTGTAGTAATTTAAAAGCCATATCGTTTTATGGTCATAAATATAAATTTCACTTTCTCAATTTTAGAACATACAATTTTGTCTAAATATTAATATATAAAAAAATGTCGACGTATAATATTATGTGACGTATATTAGTCTTCCAACTAATTAATAATATTTTCAGCAAAAACTTATAAATAATAATAAATATTATTAAAAAAAATAATGCCCAAGAAGGTGTGACCAATAGATTACTTCATTTGTAGCACAAATCATACATTCTTTGTAACCCATTTTTTCTATAAATTAATTATAGCAAATACTTTTTAAAACAAAACAAAATATAAATAGCAAAATACTCGTACTTAAAGTGTAAACTTTTACACGTGCTATTTATTAAATCTGAAAATTGTTTTACCGTGCCTTGGTTATAATAATACGTTTTTTGACAAATGATAGTTGTTTGTTTAAAAAATAAAAACTCGGTCCAGATTTATTAGAAAAAAATCTCATCCCGATTTGACCCACATGGTATATTGTATAGAACAAGTTTTCTTTGAAAAATCCAGGCCTTTCACACTTTACCACTTATTTTTGTGACGTCCACGTCACGGAAGGTATGTGGTAACGCACCCAAAAATCATCAGGAAACCTATCCTAGTGAGAGGTACGAAATTGATATTGTTCGATTTTGGACACGAATCGATATCACGCTATTACGTTACAGTGCTTTATGTGATTGGAAAATAAAAATGCTACCGAATATACGTACCTATGGCGTGCTGCAAATAGTGAGAAAGGAGTAAAAAATATAACTCCATACGTCTCGGAAAAGTGCACCTACTTATCATAGATCATGAAAATACAGACGGTCCGATTCCAACGGTGTCACGGTTCCAGAAAACGTATGCCGTCAGTGCGAGTGTTCGTATTTTTATATTTTAGTCATTGGATCAGTAGGTAGGTATGTGACACGGTTTTGCCGTGCAGTGTGCTCCGTTTTTGTTCCGCCTGCAGGAGGAGGACTGCGCGTGTCCCACTACTGCGCGCGATGCGTCTGTCGCGCCTCCGAACAGCACGAAACACAAAAATAATATAATAATAATAATTATTATTAATAACGACTACTGCACAACGTCACCGTTTTCTGCATTCACCAGTCACAATACGATATAATGAAAATTCGTGAAAACCCTGTCGTCCCCGTCGATTATTTATCGTGATTATTATTATTATTATTATTATTACTATTTTTTATTTTTTTTTTTTGTTTTGTTTTGATCTTTGATTTTTATTTCATGAACGACGTGAACACGCACATGCCCGCACCCGAGTACAATACGCGTCTATACACACACACACACACACATTATATTATATAGTGTCTGCCGCATAATATAGCATATAATTCGTGTGTGTGCACATGTACACATTATATGTGTGTTATATACGCGACGTATCATACATTTATGAGTTATTATTATTTTCATACGCGTTTATAATAATACGATATTGCCCTGTTGTCTCTATACATGTTGTACGCGCGTGCGTTCTATAGTGTAGACTTGTAATCTATTTGGCGCGCCGAACGGTACGCTGCACGTCGATCAATCGAAAACATAACGTAACAATATCTCCGACCGTGATAATTCACGCACTCGAGGGGTTGCATAATAATAAATATACACGCTATCGGTATATATATATATATATATATATATACCTTTGGGCGGTGTTAGCTAAAAAATTGTAACAATGGGACACGGAGCAATATGTCCGAAAGTTTCGCAACTGTTCGCGCTATTTTTATTTAATATTTTATATTCATTTTGACGGTGTGGAAACCGCCCGCCGGTGATGGTTGGAAAAACGGAAATCATTAATTTCCATAGCGAAAAGTAAAATAACCGTTATGTGTTGTGTGTGTGTGTGTAAAATGGTGGACAATCGATAATGATAATAATTTTTCGAAATCGATACGTTATGTGTGTGAAATAAACATATAATCGATAAACGATAACAAACGATTATTTTTAGGAGAGTGTACGAATCATATAATTATTTAAATCGTAAATCGTAAGCACATAGGTACCGCGTCTAAAGAGAATACTAACACAGACGACTAAATTTTTTTGTCGCTTTTCA